TCCCTGCCTGCCTGCCTCCCTGCCTGCCTGCCTGCCTCCCTGCCTGCCTGCCTGCCTGCCTGCCTGCCTGCCTGCCTGCCTCCCTGCCTGCCTGCCTGCCTGCCTGCCTGCCTGCCTGCCTGCCTGCCTGCCTGCCTGCCTGCCTGCCTGCCTCCCTGCCTGCCTGCCTGCCTCCCTGCCTGCCTGCCTGCCTGCCTGCCTCCCTGCCTCACTGCCTGCCTGCCTCCCTGCCTGCCTGCCTGCCTGCCTCACTGCCTGCCTGCCTGCCTGCCTGCCTGCCTGCCTGCCTGCCTGCCTGCCTACCTCCCTGCCTGCCTACCTACCTGCCTGTCTCCCTGCCTGCCTGCCTGCCTGCCTGCCTGCCTGCCTGCCTGCCTGCCACCCTGCCTCCCTGCCTGCCTGCCTCACTGCCTGCCTGCCTGCCTGCCTCACTGCCTGCCTGCCTGCCTGCCTGTCTCACTGCCTGCCTCACTGCCTGCCTGCCTGCCTGCCTGTCTCACTGCCTGCCTCACTGCCTGCCTGCCTGCCTGCCTGTCTGCCTGCCTGCTTGCCTCCCTGTCTGCCTGCCTGCCTGCCTGCCTGCCTGCCTCTCTGCCTGCCTGCCTCCCTGCCTGCCTTCCTGCCTGCCTGCCTGCCTGCTTGCCTCCCTGTCTGCCTGCCTCCCTGTCTGCCTGCCTCCCTGCCTCCCTGCCTCCCTGCCTGCCTCCCTGCCTGCCTCCCTACCTGCCTGTCTGCCTCCCTGCCTGCCTGCCTCCCTGCCTCCCTGCCTGCCTGCCTGCCTGCCTCCCTGCCTGCCTGCCTGCCTCCCTGCCTGCGCTGCGACACTGTACTTTCACCACAGCTGTCGTGAAGGTCTGGCCTGAAGGTGACCTTATATCTGGGTGCTTGTGTGGTCACCCCGCACACACCTGTACAACACATCTATCACACACCTGTCCCCCACCCCCACCCTCACCACACCCCGCACACACCTGTACAACACATCTATCACACACCTGTCCCCCACCCCCATCCTCACCACACCTAACACACTCCACCACTTGGCTATGTCCACTGAAGTGGTGATGGGTGTGGCCTGGTGGTGATGGGTGTGGCGTGGTGGTGGTGATGGGTGTGGCGTGGTGGTGGTGATGGGTGTGTCCTGGTGGTGGTGATGGGTGTGGCCTGGTGGTGGTAGGTGTGGCGTGGTGGTGGTGATGGGTGTGGCGTGGTGGTGGTGATGGGTGTGGCGTGGTGGTGGTGATGGGTGTGGCCTGGTGGTGGTGATGGGTGTGGCCTGGTGGTGGTAGGTGTGGCGTGGTGGTGGTGATGGGTGTGGCGTGGTGGTGGTAGGTGTGGCGTGGTGGTGGTGATGGGTGTGGCGTGGTGGTGGTGATGGGTGTGGCGTGGTGGTGGTAGGTGTGGCGTGGTGGTGGTGATGGGTGTGGCGTGGTGATGGTGATGGGTGTGACCTGGTGGTGGTAGGTGTGGCGTGGTGGTGATGGGTGTGGCCTGGTGATGATGATGGGTGTGGCCTGGTGGTGGTGATGGGTGTGGCCTGGTGGTGGTGATGGGTGTGGCCTGGTGGTGGTGATGATGGGTGTGGCCTGGTGGTGGTGATGGGTGTGGCCTGGTGGTGGTGATGGGTGTGGCGTGGTGATGGGTGTGGCCTGGTGGTGGTGATGATGGGTGTGGCCTGGTGGTGGTGATGGGTGTGGCCTGGTGGTGGTGATGGGTGTGGCCTGGTGGTGGTGATGGGTGTGGCGTGGTGATGGGTGTGACCTGGTGGTGGTGATGATGGGTGTGGCCTGGTGGTGGTGATGATGGGTGTGACCTGGTGGTGGTGATGGGTGTGGCCTGGTGGTGGTGATGGGTGTGACCTGGTGGTGGTGATGGGTGTGGCCTGGTGGTGGTGATGGGTGTGGCCTGGTGGTGGTGATGGGTGTGGCCTGGTGGTGGTGATGGGTGTGGCCTGGTGGTGATGGGTGTGGCCTGGTGGTGATGGGTGTGGCCTGGTGGTGGTGATGGGTGTGGCCTGGTGGTGATGGGTGTGGCCTGGTGGTGGTGATGGGTGTGGCCTGGTGGTGGTGATGGGTGTGGCCTGGTGGTGGTGATGGGTGTGGCCTGGTGGTGGTGGTGATGGGTGTGGCCTGGTGGTGGTGATGGGTGTGGCCTGGTGGTGGTGATGGGTGTGGCCTGGTGGGGGTGATGGGTGTGGCCTGGTGGTGATGGGTGTGGCCTGGTGGTGATGGGTGTATGATGGTGGTGATGGGTGTGGCCTGGTGGTGGTGATGGGTGTGGCCTGGTGGTGATGGGTGTGGCCTGGTGGTGATAGGTGTATGATGGTGGTGATGGGTGTGGCCTGGTGGTGATGGGTGTATGGTAGTAGTGATGGGTGTGTAGGGGGGGGGGGATAACATGAGGGGACGTGATGGGCCTGAGGGTGTGACGTGAGGGGGGGGGGAGGGGGTAGTGGGGGACCAACATTGGGGTCAACTTTCACCACAGGTCCCTCACCTGAGCCACGCGTCTCAAACCTCTCGCTGACTACGACTTTGGCTCTCACTCACCCACCAGAATATTCCCCTTCCCCCCCTCCCCCAGCCCCCCACTCCCCCCTCCCCCAGCCCCCCCTCCTCCCCCAGCCCCCCACTCCCCCCTCCCCCTTCATCTTAACCCCCCACCACTCCTGTATCTCCACCATCGCCACATGATAGGAGGCACCACCACTACCTCCACCACTACCACTGTTAGACAAGTACTGTGATGAAGGTGTGTACTAGGGGAGTACTGTGATGTAACCAGTGTCAGGGGGAGTGTACTAGGGGAGTACCGTGCAGGAGCCACGGTGTTCCAGGGAAGAATTAGGGCTGGGAATCCCCTGAGGAAAATCCCCGGATATGTTTGTCAGAATCACCTGAGAGTTGAAGGAGGAGGAGGAGGAGGAGGAGGAGGAGGAGGAATGGAAAGAATAGGAGGAGCAGAAGGGGAAATGAGAGACAGAAGAGAGGAAGGAAGGGTGAGGAAAGAGGAGTTTTTTTGTTTTTAATTTTCTGCCACAGACTTGGCCACACATTTACAATGCTAACCAGCATATATACATTTTCTTCTGTCCTCACTGAACTACTTACCTAACATATACTGCTAGTACTGAAATCTGGCTCTTGTTGTACCTGTTGTATATTTTTGTGGTGTATTTCCTGATGTATGAATACTTTTGTCATTATAAAGTCTTGGAGGAGGCTTCCACAACTTTTGTCTGTGCATTCCACTCTTTGACCACCCATACAGGGTGGCTTCCACCTGGATTTGCTTGCCTATTTTGCCTATTCTCAAGATTTTGACAGTATAGGAAATCACTTTCGGCTGGAGGAGTAGTTTACTGGGCAGCGCTATACTCATGATTGGACACCATCATACCCACAATTCAGAGCTTGGTATACCACATATGTCAGACCAATCCTGTAGTATGCAGCCCCAGCATGGAGTCCGTATCTAGTCAAGGATAAGACTAAACTGGAAAAGGTTCAAAGGTTTGCCACCAGACTAGTACCCGAGCTGAGAGGTATGAGCTACGAGGAGAGACTACGGGAATTAAACCTCACGTCGCTGGAAGACAGAAGAGTTAGGGGGGACATGATCACCACATTCAAGATTCTGAAGGGAATTGATAGGGTAGATAAAGACAGGCTATTTAACACAAGGGACACACGCACAAGGGGACACAGGTGGAAACTGAGTGCCCAAATGAGCCACAGAGATATTAGAAAGAACTTTTTTAGTGTCAGAGTAGTAGACAAATGGAATGCATTAGACAGTGATGTGGTGGAGGCTGACTCCATACACAGTTTCAAGTGTAGATATGATAGAGCCCACCTGTTGATTGACGGTTGAGAAGCGGGACCAAAGAGCCGGAGCTCAACCCCCGCAAGCACCACTAGGTGAGTACCTGTTCTGCTCCAACCTGTCCCTCCTAAGAGAGGAAGAAAAGCTTTCTTCCTCTGTATGAAGAAAGCCGCTGGGCTCTCCATTCACACTATAGGAAAATGCAGTTTGCCAATTTAAAACTATGTTGATCTTCCTCCTCTGGTTGATACCTGCTTGATGGGGTTCTGGGAGTTCTTCTACTCCCCAAGCCCGGCCCGAGGCCAGGCTTGACTTGTGAGAGTTTGGTCCACCAGGCTGTTGCTTGGAGCGGCCCGCAGGCCCACATACCCACCACAGCCCGGTTGGTCCGGCACTCCTTGGAGGAATAAATCTAACAACAGTGGACCTCTGATGTTTATACAGTGTTCTCTGATTATGCCTATGGCACCTCTGCTCTTCACTGGTTCTATTCTGCATTTTCTTCCATATCGTTCACTCCAGTACGTTGTTATTTTACTGTGTAGATTTGGTACTTGGCCCTCCAGTATCTTCCAGGTGTATATTATTTGATATCTCTCTCGTCTTCTTTCTAGTGAGTACATTTGGAGGGCTATTTAGGTGCTTTATTGCGTCTATGCGTGCCGTATATGTTCTCTGTATTCCCTCTATTTCAGCAATCTCTCCTGCTCTGAAGGGGGAAGTGAGTACTGAGCAGTACTCAAGACGGGACAACACAAGTGACTTGAAGAGTACAACCATTGTGATGGGATCCCTGGATTTGAACGTTCTCGTAATCCACCCTATCATTAACCATCCTCTAAAACCATGTTGGTCTTCCCTCGTCAACAGAGACGAGGGGAAACACTGTCAACAGAGACGAGGGGAGACACTGTCAACAGAGACGAGGGGAGACACTGTCAACAGAGACGAGGGGAAACACTGTCAACAGAGACGAGGGGAAACACTGTCAACAGAGACGAGGGCAGACACTGTCAACAGAGACGAGGGCAGACACTGTCAACAGAGACGAGGGCAGACACTGTCAACAGAGACGAGGGCAGACACTGTCAACAGAGACGAGGGCAGACACTGTCAACAGAGACGAGGGCAGACACTGTCAACAGAGACGAGGAGAGACACTGTCAACAGAGACGATGGGAGACACTGTCAGCAGAGACGAGGGGAAATACTGTCAGCAGAGACGAGGGGAAACACTGTCAACAGAGACGAGGGCAGACACTGTCAACAGAGACGAGGGGAAACACTGTCAACAGAGACGAGGGCAGACACTGTCAACAGAGACGAGGGCAGACACTGTCAACAGAGACGAGGGCAGACACTGTCAACAGAGACGAGGGCAGACACTGTCAACAGAGACGAGGGCAGACACTGTCAACAGAGACGAGGAGAGACACTGTCAACAGAGACAAGGGGAGACACTGTCAGCAGAGACGAGGGGAAACACTGTCAGCAGAGACGAGGGGAAATACTGTCAGCAGAGACGAGGGGAAACACTGTCAACAGAGACGAGGGCAGACACTGTCAACAGAGACGAGGGGAAACACTGTCAACAGAGACGAGGGCAGACACTGTCAACAGAGACGAGGGGAAACACTGTCAGCAGAGACGAGGGGAAACACTGTCAGCAGAGACGAGGGGAAACACTGTCAACAGAGACGAAGGGAAACACTGTCAACAGAGACGAGGGGAAACACTGTCAACAGAGACGAGGGGAAACACTGTCAACAGAGACGAGGAGAGACACTGTCAACAGAGACGAGGGGAGACACTGTCAACAGAGACGAGGGGAGACACTGTCAACAGAGACGAGGGGAAACACTGTCAACAGAGACGAGGGGAAACACTGTCAACAGAGACGAGGGCAGACACTGTCAACAGAGACGAGGGCAGACACTGTCAACAGAGACGAGGGCAGACACTGTCAACAGAGACGAGGAGAGACACTGTCAACAGAGACGAGGGCAGACACTGTCAACAGAGACGAGGAGAGACACTGTCAACAGAGACAAGGGGAGGCACTGTCAACAGAGACGAGAGGAAGCACTGTCAACAGAGACGAGGGAGACCTAACAGAGACGAGGGGAGATACTAAGAGAGTCGAGGGGACTGTTACCAGGCCGAGGGGAGAGACTGCGTACCGGGAGGGGAGGCAGCGAGCGACGGTTGGAGAGAACAGAGAAAGAGGGGAGCTGTGAGGGGGGAAATGAGAACAAACCAGTGTAGGGGAAGATGGTAACCTGAGCGGTGAGATACTCGGAGGCATCAAGTGACAGCCCGCCGGACGCCCCACCAGTGCCAGAAGTATAATGTTATATTGCCTTGTAAAACTTGTGTATATATGATTTATATTGGATTTTCTTAAATAAAGATAAACAAAAAGATATTGGGATTAGCGTAGACCCGATTAAGGTGTACAAACAGCTTGGTACTCACCTAATTGTACTCACCTAATTGTGCTTGCGGGGGTTGAGCTTTGGCTCTTTGGTCCCGCCTCTCAACTGTCAATCAACTGGTGTACAGATTCCTGAGCCTACTGGGCTCTATCATATCTACACTTGAAACTGTGTATGGAGTCAGCCTCCACCACATCACTTCCTAGTGCATTCCATTTATTAACTACTCTGACACTGAAAAAATTCTTTCTAACGTCTCTGTGGCTCATCTGGGTACTAAGTTTCCACCTGTGTCCCCTTGTTCGTGTCCCACCCGTGCTGAAGAGTTTGTCTTTGTCCACCCTGTCAATTCCCCTGAGAATTTTGTAGGTGGTTATCATGTCTCCCCTTACTCTTCTGTTTTCCAGGGATGTGAGGTTCAGCTCCTTTAGCCTTTCCTCGTAGCTCAATCCTCTCAGTTCCGGGACGAGCCTGGTGGCATACCGCTGAATCTTCTCTAACTTTGTCTTGTGTTTAACTAGGTATGGACTCCAGGCTGGAGCTGCATACTCCAGGATTGGTCTTACATAAGTGGTATACAGGGTTCTGAAAGATTCCTTACACAAGTTTCTGAAGGCAGTTCTTATGTTGGCCAGTCTAGCATATGCCGCTGATGATATTCTTTTGATGTGGGCCTCTGGGGACAGGTTCGGTGTGATATCAACCCCCAGATCCTTCTCTCTCTTGGTGTGTGTGTGTGTGTGTGTGTGTGTGTGTGTGTGTGTGTGTGTGTGTGTGTGTGTGTGTGTGTGTGTGTGTGTGTGTGTGCGTGTGAGAGAGAGAGAGAGGTTGTAACCTATCTATGCCTCTCAACCAACGATCCACAGGTATTCGAGCTCTGTAATATTTGGATTTGATGTCCAAAGGGTTTATCAAAGCAGGGTTGAAATAGCCTAGCAAAGGAGGGTTGAAATAGCCTAGCAAAGGAGGGTTGAAATAGCCTAGCAAAGCAGGGTTGAAATAGCCTAGCAAAGGAGGGTTGAAATAGCCTAGCAAAGCAGGGTTGAAATAGCCTAGCAAAGCAGGGTTGAAATAGCCTAGTAAGGGAGGGTTGAAATAGCCTAAGCTGCTATTTTATTTTCTCAATAAACGTACTTGAACTTGACTGTCTTAACCTGCACCTCACGTCTAGCTGAGTATACATACATACATACACCTGAGTATACATACATACATACATACACCTGAGTGTATTCCCCTTACCATATATACACAACCCCCCCCCCCTTTCTGAAGATGTTCCAGGTAGGAACGAAGCGGTGTGTACTTGATAGTGTTCGAGCCTACATGAAGGCGCTTCAGGTGTACACAAGTGGTAACATGTCCAGAGGTGAGCCAGGGGGTTGAGTGACAGTTGCCGCTGGTGAGGAGGAAGCCATAGTCAGGTGTGTGGGTCGGGAGGCCGGGTGTGGGTGGCGGCGGCCCGCAGCCACACACAAGTGCTGCGTCCGGGGGGTTAGGGGGACCTCTTGCGCAAGGTGGAGGGCCTCGCCCCCCTCTCTCTCTCTCTCTTCTTGCCCCCCTCCTTCCTTCCTTCCCCCCCCCCTCACCCACCTTCCCCCCCCTCACCCACCTTCCCCCCCCCTCACCCACCTTCCCCCCCACACACCTGGCAAGCTCCACCCTTGACACCTCTCCTGCGCACACCCGCTAACTTCCACACCTGGTGTGTGGTGTGTGTGTGTCTCACACACCTGGTGCGTCTCACACACACCTGGTGCGTCTCTCACACACACCTGATGCGTCTCTCACACACACTTGGTGCGTCTCTCACACACACTTGGTGTCTCTCTCACACCCGCCCTGTGAACGACGAGGCCTGGACCCGTCCAGCACTATATATGCCTCCGGGCTCACCATAGCCCGTGCTACATGTGGTTCATTTAGACACTGGGTGTCCATCTGTGTCCCCTCATCCGTCTATTGGAATAGATTCAGCTACTCGGAAGATGTTCTGACTTTTGCCAGAGTAGAGCTTTGACGTTATTCTATTAATATGGTTGTTGTTGTTGTTTAAGATTTGCTACTCAGAACAATAAGTTCCAGCAGCACGGGCTATGGTGAGCCCGTAATTAATATGGGCCTCTGGAGTTAGGTTGGGTGTTATGTCACTCCCAGATCCTTTTCTCTAGTCGTTATAGGGAGGTAGTTTCTCTTCATCACGTATCGGCCTTTCGGTCTCCTGGCTTCTGGTCCCATTTCCATCACCTTACACTTGCTGGTGTTGAACTCTAGCAGCCATTTCTCAGACCAGCTCTACAACCTGTTCAAGTCATCCTGGAGAATCTTACAATCCTCATCAGCCTCAATCCTCCTCGTTAGTTTTGCGTCATCTGCAAACATTGACACATAAGTCTCAACTCCTGCAGTCAAGACGTTTATATAAATGAGGAATAGTATGGGACCCAGGAGTGATCCTTGAGGCACCCCGCTTGTTACTCTCCGCCAGTCCCACTCCTCGCCCCTCACTGTCACTCTCTGACACCTGTCTGTTAGGTAAGTCCTTACCCATGTTAATGCGTTGCCGCCTTCCTCTCAAGTTTGCATAGTAGCCTTCTGTGTGGTACTGTATCAAAGGCTTTTTGGCAGTCCAGAAATATGCAATCTGCCCATCCTTCTCTGTCTTGTCTTGTTTTCGTTATCTTATCATAAAACTACAGGAGGTTCGTCAGGCAGGATTTCTCTGCTCTAAAGCCGTGTTGTTGTGTACTTACAAACCTAATTCTTTCTAGGTGTGGAACTAGTCTTAACCTTATAATACTATAATGTGTGAGTGAGAGTAAATGTGTGTGCGTGTGCGTGTGAGTGAGTGACCTTCATGGTGGAGTGAGCACACAGCCACACCAGGTGGTGTTGGGACTCACAGGGTAAATAAAGGCTTGTTCTCATGACCCCCCCCCACACTCCCCCCTTCCGCCCCTGCAGGGGGCAAGGGAAGGGGGAGGGGGGGCGCCCATAAGCCGGAACCTTTAAAACTGAGGTCATTACCCAACCTGTAACCGCGATGCTCAGTCTTTTTGCATTCCTTAGTAATATATATATATATATATATATATATATATATATATATATATATATATATATATATATATATATATATATATATATATATATATATATATATATATATATAACTGAAAACTCACACCCCAGAAGTGACTCGAACCCATACTCCCAGGAGCCACGCAACTGGTATGTACAAGACGCCTTAATCCACTTGACCATCACGACCGGACATAATGAGGTGATAGCCGAGGCTATTTGAACCACCCCACCGCCGGCACTCGGATAGTAATCTTGGGCATAGCATTTTACCAAATCACCTCATTCTTTGGGGCACACGTGAGGAACACAAATGCGAACAAGCCTGAATGGTCCCCAGGACAATATGCAACTGAAAACTCACACCCCAGAAGTGACTCGAACCCATACTCCCAGGAGCCACGCAACTGGTATGTACAAGACGCCTTAATCCACTTGACCATCACGACCGGACATAATGAGGTGATAGCCGAGGCTATTTGAACCACCCCACCGCCGGCACTCGGATAGTAATCTTGGGCATAGCATTTTACCAAATCACCTCATTCTTTGGGGCACACGTGAGGAACACAAATGCGAACAAGCCTGAATGGTCCCCAGGACAATATGCAACTGAAAACTCACACCCCAGAAGTGACTCGAACCCATACTCCCAGGAGCCACGCAACTGGTATGTACAAGACGCCTTAATCCACTTGACCATCACGACCGGACATAATGAGGTGATAGCCGAGGCTATTTGAACCACCCCACCGCCGGCACTCGGATAGTAATCTTGGGCATAGCATTTTACCAAATCACCTCATTCTTTGGGGCACACGTGAGGAACACAAATGCGAACAAGCCTGAATGGTCCCCAGGACAATATGCAACTGAAAACTCACACCCCAGAAGTGACTCGAACCCATACTCCCAGGAGCCACGCAACTGGTATGTACAAGACGCCTTAATCCACTTGACCATCACGACCGGACATAATGAGGTGATAGCCGAGGCTATTTGAACCACCCCACCGCCAAGGGAAGGGGGGGTGGGTGTGAGTTTTCAGTTGCATATTGTCCTGGGGACCATTCAGGCTTGTTCGCATTTGTGTTCCTCACGTGTGCCCCAAAGAATGAGGTGATTTGGTAAAATGCTATGCCCAAGATTACTATCCGAGTGCCGGCGGTGGGGTGGTTCAAATAGCCTCGGCTATCACCTCATTATGTCCGGTCGTGATGGTCAAGTGGATTAAGGCGTCTTGTACATACCAGTTGCGTGGCTCCTGGGAGTATGGGTTCGAGTCACTTCTGGGGTGTGAGTTTTCAGTTGCATATTGTCCTGGGGACCATTCAGGCTTGTTCGCATTTGTGTTCCTCACGTGTGCCCCAAAGAATGAGGTGATTTGGTAAAATGCTATGCCCAAGATTACTATCCGAGTGCCGGCGGTGGGGTGGTTCAAATAGCCTCGGCTATCACCTCATTATGTCCGGTCGTGATGGTCAAGTGGATTAAGGCGTCTTGTACATACCAGTTGCGTGGCTCCTGGGAGTATGGGTTCGAGTCACTTCTGGGGTGTGAGTTTTCAGTTGCATATTGTCCTGGGGACCATTCAGGCTTGTTCGCATTTGTGTTCCTCACGTGTGCCCCAAAGAATGAGGTGATTTGGTAAAATGCTATGCCCAAGATTACTATCCGAGTGCCGGCGGTGGGGTGGTTCAAATAGCCTCGGCTATCACCTC